CCACTCCCTCCCTTTCTCATGTAGCAATGCAATTATTTAAGAACAACCCCTCCCCCCTCCCCACGCAGATCATATGCCCCCTCCCCACAAAAAAATAACCCCACCCCCAAAACACACAGCCCAGCCGCCACAAACAATTCGTCGCACAACACAGACGTTGTGCTACAAAATAAGCGCGACCAGCCTCCCCCCTCGTCCCCAGCAGTCGCGCTCTGCTACCGACCATCGGTAGCAGAGGATGCGGTAAAACAATCGTCTCACCATGCGATGAGTGGTTACTATCGCCTGACTGGGCGCTCTAGCCCCACCCCTTGCTGCCCGACGGTTACACGAGCGGTCGGGCTATTTTAAACGAAAATTCCTTTATGTTACTTGAGCTTGTTGACGCAACGGCTCATCAATACAGGTAATCTGCTGAAAATGCTCAAGTACTGCATTTGGGAACGGTCATTACCTGTATAAGTGGGCGGGCACCGTTGGGAATTGTGCGTTACTCGAGCATTACACGAGCATTGTCGACATGTTACCTTTAATCTCATTTTTTCGTGTCAGTCTTCACGCACCCACAGGTCTCAATTACGCACCCATCAAAGTTTAAACCAGCATCATGCCAACTGCGGATTTAAGCTAACCAAAAAGTTGTAGAGAGCCGCAATTTTGCAGCTTTACTTGTCGACCATTGTTATGCCGTGAAGGTAAACTGAATTATCCAGCCCCTCTGCATCTCACTTACTGACACGTGAAATTTTCAGTTAGGTTTTGTAACTTCGAAACTAAAGTAGCTAGGGGACTAAAACTTTCTAAGCATAACTAACGGCACTGTTTGATCAGGTGGACGTAAAAACGACTTTCATGTCCGCTTCATGCCTCATTTACGTCTCACACACGTAATTTGACGTAACTCCGCAGTCAAAGCAGCTGGAATGCTGAAATTTTCTGAACATGGCCGGGATCAGGTTTGAGCAAGCATACATAAAAACAGCATTCTCTTTCCTCTCCCACGTAAAAACAAATGAAATTTGACGTAACTCCATAACCAGAGCAGGCTTAATTTACTTTTTTTTTATAGTGCTTTGTTTGCTCTTTCTCTTTACTGTTGTCTGCAGTTCTTGCCTTGAGTTCCTGACTTGTGTCCTAGATCCTTTTCTTTACTCCGCCCTAAAATTCTCCTTGCAAAGCAACTTCTGAGCTTCTCTCCATCCCCACTGTAACAGTACTCTGGAAACAAGCAATACTTCTGCCCCTTTCCCTGCCCGTGCACCCGTGGTAAGAATCAGGAGCACAGTTCCTTCTTTCGACCCACCACT